CACACGCACACACACACACACACACACATTCTGATAACATAACACTCACCTCATCAGGCATTTACTGATGTTTTATAAGTTTTATGGGAAATTGTACTTCTTGATGGCACGTTGGCGTAAAGAGAAAAATGTGGGAGAGTGGGATAAGTAGGATAAGATTATGCTCTCATGGAAGAGGAATGCAATTGCAAGGTCAGGTAGAATTAACACTTATGTAGCATATAACAATATAATGTTTTGGTTTTGTCAGTTTTGTGTAAAAACCAAACATTTTATAAAAGGTAGTCAGTGTAAAAAAACAATTTTTTAAGGCACTTTTCAGAATTAAACACAGACCAAAGCATTTTATTTATATAAATGCACATTCTGTTATATAATACAAGCTTTTCTAGATATCTGAAATGGCACAGAGACTTTTTAGAGTTGCTCAATTACAGCCATAAGAATGTTACCACACAGTGCTTTCATACAGTGTTTCTGGCCGCCATGAATCAAACCATGGCACCACCGAACACATCAGTCACAGATCTGATGACACAAGCACTAGGGCTGTAATCAGCATCTCACAAACACACAACAAGGGGACTTTCTGGTCTGTTAGCCACCCGCCTACACAGACACCCCCTCTTTTGGTGCTACAGCATCAATTACAGCATGTGTTGGCTTTGCCCCTTCTAAGTGTTACTGGAAATGTTGCAGTGTATGAGTCTGAGCATGCACGTGTGTATGGTGTTGACTTATTTTCTGTGATGTGTATTCCTTCAAACAATGTAGCATTGCAATCCCCAATGTCCTATATGGAAATTATTAACACGTCTGTGTTTGCATGACAACCAAAAACCTCATCCTACAACTGTTTTGTATTGTGGCCGAGAGAGCCCAACGCGCTGCAACTTAAGAAAACACACGCAAATAGAAAAAGCATCAGCAAATTAAGAAAACATCTTCATCAGTTTGTCAACACGCGCTGCAAATACTCACAACATGACCAAATACAGAAACGCGTTGCATGTAGCACAGACCACAATGGAAATGTTTCAAGGGGACCCGAACAACCCTTACGAAAATTAACCATGGTTTTATTATAGCCTAGTAAAAGTGTAGTAATGATGTTTTTGGCGTATACCATTTTATCATTACTTATATTATTTACATATTTTTTTGGTGATTACCATTTGTGTAACTACACAAATACCGTGGTTAAACTAGTGTAATTTGTCATTACCATGGTTTAACTATATTAGCCTAACCATGTTTTTTTTATATAGTAAAACCATGGTTAATTTTCGTAAGGGAAGTTGTAAAAGTAAGTTAGCCAGCTTGCATAACGTTTAACAGTTACAGAGTTACATTGTGTATTTCGTCAGCTTATTTAGGCTAATATCAAATATATAATATATATTTTTTGATATATATAATATCAAAAAAAGCTAAGGAATCATATGATCAGGAAATCGCACCTTTCAGAATAGACACGTGTCCCAGCCAGGTTCCTCACTTGTTGCGGTTCCCATATACATTTCCGATGTGGTCTGTGCGTATTTGCAGCGCGTTTCTGTATTTGGTCGTGTTGTGAGTCTTTGCAGCGTGAGTATTTGCTGCGCATTTCTGTATTTGGTCGTGTTGTCAGTCTTTGCAGCGCATTTCTGTATTTGGTCATGTTGTGAGTCTTTGCAGCGCGTTTCTGTATTTGGTCGTGTTGTGAGTATTAGCAGCGCGTTTCTGTATTTGATCGTGTTGTGAGTATTAGCAGCGCGTTTCTGTATTTGGTCGTGTTGTGAGTATTAGCAGCGCATTTCTGTATTTGGTCGTGTTGTAAGTATTAGCAGCGCGTTTCTGTATTTGGTTGTGTTGTGAGTATTAGCAGCGCGTTTCTGTATTTGGTCGTGTTGTGAGTATTAGCAGCGCGTTTCTGTATTTGGTCGTGTTCTGAGTATTAGCAGCGCGTTTCTGTATTTGGTCGTGTTGTGAGTATTAGCAGCGCGTTTCTGTATTTGGTCGTGTTGTGAATCTTTGCAACGCGTTTCTGTATTTGGTCTTGTTGTGAGTATTAGCAGCGCGTTTCTGTATTTGGTTGTGTTGTGAATCTTTGCAGCGCGTTTCTGTATTTGATCGTGTTGTGAGTATTAGCAGCGCGTTTCTGTATTTGGTTGTGTTGTGAGTCTTTGCAGCGCGGTATGGACTTAAAAGGTTCTAGGCGAATTGTTGAATAAAGTCGTTGTTATTTTTTTTTTCTTTTGCGCACAAAAAGTATTCTCGTAGCTTCGTAAAATTACGGTTGAACCACTGCACATGAGGGTGAATAATTAATGACAGAATTTTTGGGTGAACTATCCCTGTAAGTTTGGCTTTCAATACAATTATCCCAGCACTCATCCAGACCAAACGAACCCAGCTCTCTGTTCCTAGCTCTATCTGTCAGTGGATCACCAGCTTTCTGACAGACAGTCAACAGCTAGAGACTGGGGAAATTCATGTCAAACAGCCACACCATCAGCACTGGTGCCCCTCAGGGATGCGCTCTTTCCCCAATTCTTTTCTCCCTGCACCTCTGTTGACCCCTCTGTCAAGCTCCTGAAGTTTGCAGACGACACTACAGTCGTCGGCCTCATCTATGACGATGATGAGTCTGCATTTAGAAGCGAGGTTGAGCAGCTGGCTGGCTGGTGCGTCTGTAGAAAGTCTATGGACCGAAGGGAGGCAAGCCGCCGCTCTAACTTTACCTGCGGGTGTCGCTGTTGGACAGTGTTACTTTATAAAACCGAGTGACTTTTAGACTTTTATATATATATTCGTATTATCTGTGTGTTGTTGTCTCTGTGTAATGGAAACTTCTGTCACCAGAACAAATTCCTTGTATGTTCAAACATACTTGGCAATAAAGCTCTTTCTGATTTTGGTTTTATTAAATCATTTCTGGGAGCTACTTTGTGAAGGAGTCATAATGCAAGAGCCAGCTGGATAAAAGTAGTGCTTCTGCAACATACCTGAGCAGCTCAACTAGATCCCTGGAAAAATGGTCATGATTATAATGCAATATTAAGACATAATATATTGCTAAAATGTATTTATTATAGTTTAACAATAGGAAATGCTTAAAACAGTTTGTGTACGTCTCCCTCTGCAGGACATTTTTCAGTACTGACTTTCCATAAAACAAGCTTTAGATCACCTGTACAAATCTTACTTAAAATTACGTACATTTCCCATTTATGTGTAAGATACACTGAAAAAAATGGTATAGGATTTACTTTGAATCAATTTTCAGTCAGAAATTGCTTGTAAATTCAGTTCAGTTCATTACAATAAAACAGAAGTAACACCTTGAATTAAACATGAAATTTTGAAGTAGAAAGACTGAAAGCATTTTCATGTGAAACGTCAATACAACTCCGAAACAGTCTATCTTTGTTTTATTTATACAATTTTGAAAAATCATTTTTATGGTGTAACTGAGAAGTCATACTCTCTTATATGCATTTTAAATGATTATTATATAATTTAATAACATTTTATGATTCCAATTCCACTTTGTCCTTTTACGGGAAATTTGTTTTGGACAATACAGGTAAAGCTGCATAACAAGAAGATGATTAATAGTTAACATTTCATAACAAATAAAAAACACAAAGAAATGAGTTCAAAGAGTTCAGTTAAGTTTTATTAAAAGCCAAGCAAACATTAAAATACTGAAACAGATAACCTTTTCCAAACTTTTTTTTTTTTTGCTCCATTTTGTACAAATCACAGTTGTTCAAAAATATTACAAATGATTCAATAAAACTTTTTTCTTTTTTTTCTTTTGCAAGAGCAGCAAAACATTCTGATTTTGTATTTTGAAAGCCCTTAGTAATGTGTGTGTGTGTGTGTGTGTGTGTGTGCTTTTTCTAGTTCAGAACAAGAAAAATTATTACAGAACGAGTATCGGAAACAATTATCAAAATAAGAAAAAAAACAGCTTTAAGTAGTTATAAATTCGAAAGAGGAAAAGAGGTCAAGGGAAGGGTCGGCAGTCAGTGACACCTATACCTCACCTCAAGAGGACAAAAAATGGCAAGAACCATTTAAACAGATCACCTCACCACAAGCGGAAAGGGGGACAGGGTTTACCAAAGGGCATACAAGTGCTCCACTATAACTGACAGATGTTGTTCAGAAAAATAATACGGCCCTTTTCTTTCATGTAGATGAAGGTGGATTTCAAAGCTCAGAAAGGAAGTTGGTTGGACAGCCCCTCTGTTGAAACACAGAAACTAACAAGGGCTTGAAGTGGTCTCTGTCTATGACCTGAGGTCAGATTGTTAATTTTACAAGCAGTAAGATGTGGTAAACCTTTCCAGTTTAATACAAATGTTGAGAGTTTAAAAATAAAAATAAAAAATAACATTAAAAAAAATCACCGCAATAACTGCTCTCTGGTATTAGTATTTTACAAAAATATACCTAAACCAAAGTCATATTCCAAAAAGAATGTTGTGTAACATTTCCCCTGTCAAACACCAATTTATATTACCCTTTGCCATGTAAAAAATAAAATAATAAAATAAAATAAACCCCTGACCTTCAGTTGACTGTAGAGGGCACAAGTGTGCCTCTGACTCTCCGTTAATATGCATGTGTTTACATTCACTCTCATCCCAACAAGTATGATCACTGTTCACAACAAGCACAGGTTTCCACTCAGCTCAGCACAATCAAAGAGGGATGAAAACACCCAAAATGTTAAGAGGGAAAAGCATGAAAATATATTTCCCATCACTCAAAAAACAAAGGGTATTGCTACATGCTGGCCACAGGCATGCAGAAGGAGCAATACAGTGGTCTGCCGGCTGTCAGCTGAAGTGTGTGGTGTAGTGTGTGTTTGTTAGTGCACTACAATTACCTCCATCAAAACTAAAGGCAGAAACCTCTCTTCAGTCAGACCCCCACCCCCCATTAAAGGCACAGCAATAAACACAACAATAGACCACAATTCTCAAGTGCTCTCGCGTTTCTTATATTGGGTTTCTAATGCTGTACTGTTATTAAATAAATAGAACTACAACCACAATGTGTCATTTATAATGAACATGATAAACATTTAGAACAACAATAAGTTTTGTAAGGGTTTTGGATGAACTTTTTTTTTCAACATGACGAAAGTGCATGATAATTCCTTAGTAATGAAAGCTACTGTTATTCATAATTACATACCATTCCACGCACATCTTACCTGTAAACGTGCACTGATAAATACTTTACAATTTGTTGCTAAAGACTACTGTTAAATTGAAAGAAAATCCACAAAGAATATCATTTGTATCAAATTTCAAGGTAAAGTGCATATTTAGCTAGCAGTTATACTGTTAGCAGGGATCTTTCGTGTTGTTATTCACAGCCTGAACCAATCTCTAACTTTAAATGAATCGTTCATTCAAACATGAACATTCTGTCATCATTTACTCACCCTCATGTCATTTCAAACTTGTATGACCTTTTTTACTTCTGTGGAACATAAAAAAAGATATTCTGAAGAATGTTTTTGTCCATGCAATAAAGTTGAGTTGGATGCCATTGACTTTAATTATATAGACTAAACTGCTGAACCATTCTTCAAAATAACTTCTTTTGTGTCCCGCAGAAGAAATAAATTCATACACCTTTCAAACATCATGAGGGTGAGCAAATGACAGAATTTGCATTTGGGGTGAATGATCCTTTTAAGGGCTAATTGACCTTTCTAATACTGTTTATTTGAAATCTACAAAACCACCTAATTTCTACAGAAAAACATGGATCACATGTCCTTTAAGTTAATGAAGACATATTCGATTAAAGCACAAGGTACAAAGAATTTGAGCAGCCAACATAAAAGTCTCATAGTAAGTATTAGGTTTTTTTTTTTAATGTAAGCACAAAATATGTAGGGCCATAAGGAGCACTGTTTTAATGGAAGAAACCATTCCATGCTACAAAATGTTTTAAAAAGCCATAGTTTAGAAACAGTCAGTGCCATGCACATCAAAGGCAGACCAAATCTAAAATAAAAGTGCAAAAGCAAATAGTCAAAAAACAAAAAGTGCTAACAAGCCCGAAATCACCACGGCAACAACGCTTTCCATCCCAACAAGCATGCTGATGTTTGTAGCGTTCTCGAATCGCTCATCTGGGGTGATGGTCTTTAACTCAGACAGGAGAGCTGTGATTAAGTACATAATTCATCACAGAGCCAATCTGCAAATACACAGCAAGGTCATACATTCGTTATTTTACTAGTTATTGAGCCTTTAGGCATAGTGTGGCATCTATAAACATTCATTTATTTGTCTGCCCCTATAAATAAAGCATCTTAATGGGATGAACCTATAAAAGTGCCTCTACAGGTGAATGTCAAGACGGTAGCATACAGACAAGTGTCTGCTCTCCGCTTCCCTCTTATTTGTCATTTATTTATTATTTGAGTGCAGAAAGGCCTGTCTGAGCACATGGGCTCTGCATGTCTATTTTTGTAGCTGTTGATGATTTCAGCTCGTCTGGTGTGAAAAGCAGGGTGCAGCCTTGAGGAAGTGAAGTCAGAAAGCCAGAAATAGAAAAAGGGTGGCATGGAAAACTTAAAATGTCTCCGATTTCTCATTCACCTCCATAGTAGCTATTAAAAACACTTTTGTTAAAAGGCACGCAACAGGCAAAACAAACATGCTTCACCGAGAAATACTTGAATATAGAAGGGAAAGTGTAACAATGGTCATAGGCACTCATGTTTTCCGGACAAGACTCTAGCAAACGAATGTTAACAACACTCTACAGCGCATGCACATCTGAAAGAAGGAACTGAGAGTGGGTATGTTAGCATATCACTGTCAGTTTAACCACAAAACCTGTTTCAAAGTACAAAGCTTGAAATCGAAAGCTATTAAATTAAAATAGAAGGATACACTTTTGATTTACAGCCTATGTTGGGATATTTTGTTATTAAGATAAAAACAGGTAAACTTGTGTAAAGCTGCGGTCACACTACACTTTTCTTTCCATTTACTTCCATTCATACGCATGCAAATGCTGGAAACCGGAAACGCAAGCTCGTGCGAAGGAAGTTTTACATTTCGCTGCGTTCCAAAGCGTCATGGCTCGTCATCTTAGCGGAATTAAACAATCATAAACTTTCAATTTGCTGGTCCGCAGCATTGCAGGAAAGCAGAGTAGATTGTATATTTTTACATTTTGGATTTATTATTATTTGTTATATGTTGAATACTTTGTACTATGTTTAAAAAAAAAAATGACACCACAGAGCATGACATCGTATCACGACTGTTGCAGGGCTCAAAGTCTAGTGAAACCGCCCTTTAAGGAGATGATGGGTGAGTGGTTGAACGCTGTGACATTTAGCAGGTTAATCCGGAGCACCGATTTTATCTGCAAGTCTAAAGTGCAAAGTGAAGCATCACATTGCAACATATCAAACACTACAGGAAATGGATCGATAGTTTCTCCCTCAGTTTGGTTAACTGCAGAGGTAGAGGAGCAGAGGAATAACAGAGAGGAGCGGCGAAGGAATAAGAAACATCGCAACCTACTTTTTGGTTCGCCAATAGCAAAGAGCTGAAGTAGTGCTATAAAAACAAGTGCATTTCACAAGGGTGTGAAGATCTGCAACAGGACTGACAAACAAATGAGTAGCTAATACTTAAGCAGGGTAAACTCAGAAGGCATGGGCGCCCCCCAGTGGTGGAGGTGAAAGGCAAGCAAGTCGAGGAGCTTGCTAGTGGTCAAATCACAAAACTCAATCAACAGAATGTCAAATAACAGCTGTGATTGCTAATACTCTCCTGGCAGTGGTAAAATAGCCCTAATTTCATAGTTTACTTGCTGTCAAGTTTTTGTTTCAGCAGATTTTGGTAAGGCGTTTGTGTTTGAATGAGTTGTCTGTCTGAGTGTCTGTCTTTGGTGCTGTCCTAGAGTTTTTTAGTGAGTGACAGACCTGAACTACACACCCCTTCTGTTCTACAACATGAACAAAATTTAGTAACAGGAAAAGCAATCTGAAAAACACTTCTTCTTTAAGCAACACAATTGGTATTCTGAGCCAATATGGGGCAATGGAAGATCCAAAATGGAGAATTGTTTTTATGAAGCATGAAGGCAGGGGCAATAACCCCTTTATTTTAACAATTTCTTTTATATGTATATCCCTGCCGCCATTTTAGTTGCTAGTTGTATTCAAAGCTAAGCTATGTTTCAGCTTGTAGGCATTGAACATGACGGTTTTCCCAAAAATAGGTCTCACAGAGAAAAGATCAACACAGCAGCACCATGCAGCATTCGTGTGCCCAGGCGCCAGCGCTCAGATGGGGTGCTGGTGTGAGTGTGTGTGTGTGTGGTCTTGTATAATAATAACAGTCTTAAGAGGCGAAAGTAGGTCACTGCAATGATGCTGTTCCCTATGTGATGCTGTGGCGAGACCTGTTGCATTCGCACAGTAGAACATGTAACATTGAAAAAGAGAATGATTTGAGACTTCCTCCAAACCTTCTCCTGTTTAATGACACATACGCTATGAGCTCTCGTGGCGGGCAGTCCACTAAGGCCCAGCGTGGGTAGGGAAGGCTAAAGCTCAGAGGCAAAGAGGACCCCGGACTCGCTTTCAGCAGTCAGGACAGATGCACAGAAACAGGGCTCCCCAGGCTTGGCTACATGCCTCTGGACTGAGATGAGGGTGAGGAGTAAAGGGGGGGTTGAAAGGATGAATGGAGGAAGACCCTCAGGAAATGTGGGGTGCTGAGGAGGATGGATGTCTCCAGAAAAACCAGCCCCGTTTGGTGTGCTGCTTGCGTAAGATCTCCTCCTCGCGCTCTCGCTCTTTTTGAGAACGGAGGTAGCGGTCTTCCTCCTTCAGGAACCACACAGGGGGCCAGCGATGCTTCTCAAAATGTTTCTGGTTTTCTGGAAGAACAAATGACAAGATCAAGGAAATACACCGGAATTTTCTCGCTTCAAAACACTTTAAGATAAATGTTTTCTATTTTAATATATTTTCAAATGTAATTAATTTCATCATTATCAACTGAATTATTATCAAGGACTCCATAGAAAGTTCAAAAGAACAGCATTTATTTAAAATAAAAATCTTTTGTAACATTATGTTTTTACTGTCTCTTCTGATCAATTCAATCAATTGCCGAATTTATTTTATTTATACATAATATAAATCAAATAAATAAATGAATAAAAACACTTCTTGCCCCTTACCAGGAGACATAGTCTTCATGTCTTTAGGGAATTTTCGACAAACGCTATTGTAGTTGGTGCAGATGTGATGCAGACACCAGGCAGAGAGCTGTTTGGCATTGTGGAACTACAGCAGACAGAAAGCAGAGTTGGCACAGAGTGATTTCTCTCAAAGAGGCTCATTTGAAAAGCAAAGTCTGTTCATCCTTTGAACTAGAATAAAGTAGGCTATGAATGAATGGCAATTCTGTAATGTGCTCCATTGGTTATATTGCTACTTCATTACTCAGTGTGAGTGTCCTCTGCATTCTATTAAAGGCTTTGTTTGCTTCATTTTTATTAATGTTACCTGAGCCATCTCCAGATAGGCCAGCACATGTCCATCAATGTCCACCCCTTTAACGGACAACTGCAATAGCTCCTCAACAGCATGTTGCTCTGTAGACCATGGCAAAACACCATACAGCAAGTGTTAATATGTCAGCCATGGAGCTTAATGGTTAATGATTTGCAAAATACTCCATAACAACAGAATCGTCAACATTGAAAAATTTCTCACCTTCACTGGTGTATTTTAACAAATACAACATGCTGTAGTTTAGATGTAGATAATATTTATTTGGTTAATTTATTTTTCCAAATTATTGGCTAGTGCCACCTCTATCATTTGTAATATTAACCAACATTTTTGTCCATGGCAGCTGTTAACTTTACAGATCCAAATTATTTGCAGATTATGTCTTTGAAAATTCATGCTCAAAGTAGTAGATTAACCATAGAATTATACAGTAGTTTTTCAAGGTAAACATAGAGCCTTTATTAAACCTACCTGTTAGAGCTACAAGGCGAGGAAGACAGAGGCGGTTGGCTAGTATTATAAGGTCCATTGGCTCCAGTTCAGGACATGGTGTTAACACACCACAGTAGAGAAACTCCAGAACGGCTCTCATGCAGGCACAAGTGGTCTTGGGGATAGAGACCTAAAAAGAGAAACAGAGAACGAAAAAGAGGTGGTGGTTAGCAAAAAACAACCTTAATATTTCAAGTTTACAGTTATTAACAAAAGCCCACGTTGAGAAAAGTTTGTGTGAACAGATTTCATAACCCATGCTGAGAAATGTTTATTCATAGCTCATCTCCAGGACATGGAAACTCGAGAGGCAGATTGATCCAGGGATGAAACAATCTGCTCAGCACCTCTCCCCTATTGAGACCTGCATGGTTCTGGCTGCTGACCATTAGAGGAGGCCTTCGTGTTGACATGGCAAGGCCCAAAGTGGCCATGGAAGCAGTTAGAAAGGGATGTTTGTGTCAATGAAGGCTTGTGGAGGAAGGGGCCTGGGAGAGTGATAGAAGGGTGAGGGCAGCGGCCTCAACAAGGAGTCTTTCATCCTTCAGGAGATTAAAGCACTGTGTGAAACCGTTGACAGTCTCAGCTTAAAGCTGTGGAAAAATAACTCTGTGGGCTTGTCGCTACGGGAAACCTGGCTTCTGCATAAACAAGAGCCAACAAGCCAGCCTACAGGAGAGACTGTCATCATATAACAGTTAACACAGGATATGCTTTACAGAACAAATACACAACATTTAGGAAGACTCAGTTCCCATATATTGATATGTCAAATTTCATGCATTCATTTAAATGACAAATAAAATTATATTTCAAACTAGATTGAAAAGTTTGTAGACAAACTTTAAGTTGGCTTGAAAAAGCCTAGCTAGAAAGTTTGAAAAGTTTTAAAAGCTTGCAGTCTGAATGTTTTTAGTTTGAAGTAGTTTGAAACTTAAAATAGTTTGAAAGATTACAGTTTGAATGTTTTCAAGGCAATACAGTCTATCAGAAAAACAGATGGTATAAAACATATCGCTAGGGTACCTGGGGTGGGTGCTAGGCTGTTTCTAGCATGATTAGCATGTTGCTTGCACAATTAGCATATTACTAGCATGTTTCTAGCATTAATAGCATGTCACTAGCATGTTGTTAGCATTATTAGCAAGTTAATAACCCGTTGCTAACATGATTCTGGCATGATTAGCATGTTACTAGCATGGTGTTACCATTTTGTTAACATGATTAGCAAGTTACTAGCATGTTTCTAACATGATTAGAATGTTGTTAGCATGATTAGCATGTAGATAGCATGATTCTAGCATGATTAGCATGTTACAAGCATGTTGTTAGCATGATTAACAAGTTACTAGCATTTTGCTAGCATGATTCTAGCATGATTAGCATATTACTAGCATGATGCTAGCATGTTTCTAGCATGTTTAACAAGTTGCTAGCATGATTAGCAAGTTACTAGCATGTTGTAAGCATGATTCTAGCATTATAGCAAGTTACTAGCATGTTTCTAAAATCATTAGAATGTTGTTAGCATTATTAACATTACTACCATGTTGATAGCATGATTCTAGCATGATTAGCATTGTTCAAGCATGTTATTAGCATGATTAACAAGTTAATAGCATGTTGATAGCATGATTCTAGCATGATTACCATTTTACTAGCATGATTCTAGCATGATTAGCATATTACTAGCATGATTAGCAAGTTACTAGCATGTTGTTAGCATGATTCTAGCATGATTAGCAAGTTACTAGCATGTTGTTAGCATGATTCTAGCATGATTAGCAAGTTACTAGCATGTTGTTAGCATGATTCTAGCATGATTAGCAAGTTACTAGCATGTTGTTAGCATGATTCTAGCATGATTAGCAAGTTACTAGCATGTTGTTAGCATTATCAACAAGTTACTAGCATGTTAACATGATTAGCAAGTTAATAACATGTTAACATGATTCTAACATGATTAGCATGTTACTAGCATGACTCTAGCATGATTAGCATGTTACTAGCATGATGTTAACATGTTTCTAACATGTTTAAAAGTTGATAGCATTTTGTTAGCATGTTTAACACGTTGTTAACATGTTTCTAGCATGATTAGCATGTTACTAGCATGGTAATAACATTTTGTTAGCACGATTAGCAAGTTTACTAGCATGTTGCTAGCATGATTAACATGTTACTAGCATTTTGTTAGCATTTTTCTTGCATTATTATCAAGTTACTAGCATGTTGTTAGCATGATTAGCAAGTTACTAGCATTTTGTTAGCATGTTTATAGCATGATTAGCCTGTTGTTAGCATGATTAGCAAGATACTAGCATGTTGTTAGCATGATTCTAGCATAATTAGCATTTCACTAGCATAATTCTAGCATGATTAAAATGTCACTATCATGATGATAGCATGTTTCTAGCATGTTTAACAAGTTGTTCACATGTTTCTAACATGTGTAACATGTTACTAACATTGGTGTTAACATTTTGTAAGCATGATTAGCAAGTTACTAGCATGTTTCTAGCATGTTGTTAGCATGATTAGCATTTTACTAGAATGTTGTTAACATGATTCTAGCATTATTAACATGTTGCTAGCATGATTCTAGCATGTTACTAGCATGTTTATCAAGTTGCTAACATGTTTCTAGCATGATTAACAAGTTACTAGCATGTTGTTAACATGATTAGGAAGTTACTAGCATTATGTAAGCATGATTAGCAAGTTATTAGCATGTTTCTACCATTTTGTTAGCATGATTAGCATGTTACTAGCATGTTAATATGATTCTAGCATTATTAGCATGTTACTAGCATGATTCTAGCATTATTAGCATGTTACTAGCATGACTCTAGCATGATTAGCATGTTACTAGCATGATGCTAGCATGTTTCTAACATGTTTAAAAGTTGATAGCATTTTGTTAGCATGATTAGCATGTTACTAGCATGTTGTTAATATGATTCTAGCATTATTAGCATGTTACTAGCATGATTCTAGCATTATTATCATGTTACTAGCATGACTCTAGCATGATTAGCATGTTACTAGCATGTTGTTAACATGATTAGGATGTTACTAGCATGATGTTAACATGATTCGCATGTTAATAGCATGTTTGCTAGTATGATTAGCATGTTACTAGCATGATGCTAGTATGTTTCTAACATATTTAACAAGTTGCTAGCATTTGTTAGCATGTTTAACAAATTGCTAGCATGTTTCTAGTATGATTAGCATGGTGTTAACATTTTGTTAGCATAATTAGCAAGTTTACTAGCATGTTGCTAGCATGATTCTAGGATGATTAACATGTTACCACCATGATTCTAGCATGATTAGGATGCTTCTAGCATGATGCTAGCATTTTTCTAGCATGTTTAACAAGTTGTTAGCATGTTTCTAGCATGATTAGCACGTTACTAGCATGGTGTTAGCCTTTTTTAGCATGATTAGCAAATTACTAGCACGCTTCTAGCATGATTAGCATGTTACTAGCATGTTGTTAGCATGATTAGCAAGTTACTAGCATTTTGTTGGCCTGTTTCTAGCATGTTGTTAGCATGTTTCTATGCTAATCCAGTTAAACCCAGTTGATTCAGTTTAAAAAAACAGCTAAAAAACAGCTAAGACCAGCCTGGCCTGCTAAAAAAAAATGGCCAAAACCACTTTAAAACCAGCTTGGGAGACAAGCCAAAGCAGTCAATCAGCTTAGGCTGGTTTTAGCTGTTTTTTTCAGTAGGGAGTTCTTAAGCTTTGCTATAGCAATAGACAGCTTAAATACACCATAAGTCTTATTGTATAGGAAATGAAAGTCTATGGGATTTTAGGTGGTTTTGATAGTCTGGTTTATTAAAACCGTAAGCCGGATCAGTTAGAAAAGATATAGCAACCCGAGTCAGACCAGTCTGAAGGTCTGACCCGAGCTTGGTGGTTGTAGCTTTAAAAGTCTAGGAGGAGATACATTTTAAAATTTGGTCTCAGAAGAACAAGAAGGTTTAAATAGGATTTCAGTAAGTTGGCTTTTTCAAGCCACCTTAATAAATGCTATTATTTTTAGATTTGTATTCATCAAAAAATCCTGAAAAAGAATCACGGTTTTCACAAAAGTATTAAAGGGGTCATATGATGCTATTTTAAAGATCATTATTTGGTGTATTTGGTGTAACAAAATATGTTGACATGCTTTAATGTTCAAAAAACACATTATTTTTCAAATACTGTACATTATTGTAGGTCCTCTATGCCCCGCCTCTCTCAAACGCTTCGTTTTCTACAAAGTCCCTCCTTCCGAAAAGCGCCTCCAAAGAGAAAGGAAAAATTGAAATAGCATCATATGACCCTTTTAAGCACCACAACTATTTTCAACTTTGATAATCACAAGAAATGTTTCTTAAGCACCAAATCAGCATATTAGAATGATTTCTGGATCATGT